GCGCTGCCTTCCCTGCAGGTATTCACTGGCATATTCAGATGCAGGATCTTCCACTTTGCTCAGGTTCATCAGGGTGCCCTTTTCGTCCACAAGATCGATGCAGTCTGGAGGGAGAAACGTGGTGAAGGAAGCTCAGGGTGCCCCTGTGTGGCCAACATGAGCCTGTTGCGTTTAGAGGCGTTTTCCGTGGCAAGTTACATTTGAACAGAATGTTGAGATGTGGGGGGTGTGGGAGGTTTGCTGTCCCTTTCCCTGTGTTTTGGGATGTCCTGTGACTCCCACGTGACCCATTTGTTACCCTCTGCTGTTCCTCTGAGTGAGTGGCAGTCCCTTTGTGACCACAGCCCAGAGCACTCGTACCTTCAGGCCTGCACTGACACTTCCACTTGAGGTGGCCTGTGAGGGTCTGGACGCAGCAGAGCAGGTTCACCATCTCTTGGCAGTTGGCTGCAATGAATGAGACCTGAGATTGGAGTGTGGTCACCCCAAACCCAGGGACCACATGGGCATGGCAGGAGGCACAGCAGGTGGCTGAGAGGTGCCCACTGTGGCCAGGCCAGCAAAGACAGGATCCCTGTGTGGCATCAGCAGGGCTTTGAGCAGCTGTATTACAGCTACAGGTGCTGAGAGTGCCCCAGGTCAAGGGGAGAAGATGAGAGCTTTGATTTGGGGAAAATGGTTTTGATTGATGAAGTGTCTCTGTCCTTCAATTTTGTCTCATCAAGCATGAGTAGCAAAAAGCAGTGAGCCCTGGTCCTTGCCAGTCCCCTTCTACAAGCTGGTCCCAGTCACAAGGTGAAAGAGCCGGAGACAGAGGCTGAGTCACCTGAGGATATTTTGGCCATGAACTCTGACCGAGTTTGTCATAATTGAGAAATCCCCCAGGGCTGACACACGTCAGTAGTCAGAGCTGGGGATCCAATTCAAATAGCACAGGGAGCAAAGGCTTGGAACCCTGTGCATCTGATGGCTTCAGCCACGAGTGTCTGGGGACAGGCCAAGGCTTTCAGCCAGCTGGGTGAGGTCAGGATAGGGGCTGCTCATTCCTTCCCACAAATACCTGCTCTCTGAAACTGAGAGCTGGGATTTGAGTCAGGGAACCCTTCCCACACAGCCCAGGACAGAGGAGCTTTGCTGGCAGCTGGCACTTGTGCCCCATGGCTCTTCTGGTTGTGTCTAGATAAGCAGGGCCCCCTCCGGTGATTTCCCAGAGTTGCCAGGCTGGGAACTCATCCTCACCTCCTGTGATGAACTCAGCTCTGCTGGAGTGGTTTTCCTCCATGATTTGGAGTGCAGGGATAATAGATCTCCCTTTTTTAAAAGCAGGTGAGGTGCAGGATGCTGCTGCACCCTGGCAGAGCTCTCCTGCCTGTCCCTAAGCCCTGGGCATTGCTGTGCACCAGGTGCTGTGTCCCTCCCTGCCCCTGGGGGTGACGAGGGTGGCCGCAGGGCTGGGACAGGGCCGGGCCTTTCCCCACCTACCTCCGAATCTCACTGTGGCGAACGTGGTGCTGCCGTGCCCCTGCAGGGCTGTGGGTCCCGTCCTGCAGGCAGCGCTGGGAGCTGCTGGAGAGCCCGGGACACGCAGGGCTCATTTCCCTCTGACGCTGTTGTGGTTTCAGTATCGCCCAGCAACAGTGAATGGCCCCTGCAGGTTCTCCAGCCTCCTGCGGGGGGAGAGGGGGGATGTAGAGCGAGGGCTGAGAGCCAAACAACAGCCTATTGGGAAGCCTGCTCCGTGTGCTCCCAGATGCTTTGAATTTCGGACTTTTTGAGGTCTCGTGGTGTTTCCTGCCCCCACCTCCATTTGTCCTGCAGCTGATCTGGGCTGTGGTGGTACCACATCTGCTCACCCTGCTCCTGAGCCCAGCATTGCTGCAAGGGCAGCCTGGCCTCCTGTGACATGACTGGATGCCACTGGAAAAACCTCCCTGAGGACCCTGCCTGTGCTGGTCCTACTCTGGAGCAGTGGGGCTTTGCAGCCCCATGGTGTACACGGTCCTGTGCCAGCTGCATCTTCCATTTGGTGCCCAAATGTTTCTGTGCAAGTGCTCCTGCAGGGCAGGGCCCTGGAGCATCATCCCCTTTTCCTGTAGGAAACATGGATAAAATCATGTCCCTGTGCTGCTCAGCTGATGGGGAGGGCTGGAATGGTGGGAACCAGTAACAACACTGATGTGCTGCATTATCCAGTGCTCTCTGCTCTGAGGACGAATTCCCTTTCTCTGGAATGCCTCTCTTTGCATGAGGAGGTGATTTCCCTCCATCTTGCCAGGTTTCATTTCACAGTCAATCTAATCCATGGGCTTGACCTGCTCAGAGCCTGGGACAAGGTGTGTGTGTGTGTGTGACACTCCTCCCCCAGGACCTGTGCAGGGAGACTCGTGTTCATCTTGCCACCACTCTGCAGAATTTGGGGAGTGCTGGTGGGCAACAGCTGGAGCTGTACCTGCAGTGTGCTCCTACCTGCCAGAGCTCAGGGGCCTGGCTGCAGGAAACACAAACTGCTGATACCTGCAGGGGCAAATGGCTTTGGCTTGGGGCCTCTGTGGCTGCTGCAGAGGGGAGGGAGTGGCTGTCCCCGCATGGCGACGAGGTGGCACTGGCAGGGGCTGGGCCTGTCTGTGGAGGGCAGGAGGCAGCCAGCAGCCCTGGCACATGAGAAGTGCCTGCTGCCCTCAGTGCTGAGGACAGCCTGGGCTGGTGGCCGTGTGGCACAGTGTCCCTGGGCCCCGTGACAGGTGTCACAGACAGGAGGGGCTTGACGCCCGCCGAGCTGGTGGCTGTTGGCTGTAACGGTCTGCTGTCCTTCCGCACCAGGCACCAGCTGTGCTGCAGCCACCTCTGCCCCGGCCCCCTGGGGACACACCACCTGCCTGATGGCCCCAGCAGCCACCCACCGTGCCTGCTGCTCCTGAGGTGGCCCTAGTGGAGAGGCAGCTGAGACCCTGACCCTGACCTGAGACCCAAATCATTCCTGCCACAGTGATGGAGCTGCATGAAGGGAGCAGCAACTTCCCGTATGTTGTTTCTGTGATGGGGCAGCTGCCTCCCATCTTCTGCTCTCCCTGGTGGCCGCAGCCCGCTGCCTCTCCCGGGGGGGCCGGCACACACTTGGTGCGTGGTGTGGCTCGGGCTCCTGGCTTCCTGCAAGCCTGGCAGCAGAGGGCCTGAGTGTGAGCCCCCAGGGAAACCTCTCTGCTCCTCCCACCAGTGAAGAGAGATGGTCAGCGATGCCACCCCAGTGCCCAGGGCATGGGGTGGTGGGGTGGGCTGTGGGTGTGTTGGTGCAGCTGAAGGAAATGGGCTGGGGTGAAGGTGGGTGGCTCTCCCCGCCCTCCCTGAAGCCCAGCTGCAGCAGAGCGAGCAGCCCCGGGGAGCTGAGTCCCTGAGCCCCCTGTGTCATTTACATAGGTCCCGCCGGTGCCGTGGCACAGCAACCTGCCTTGTGCAGCACCCCAGACCCTCTCTGAAACAGCCTCCCTTCCTCTGCCTCCTGCCATGGCCCTGGGCTTCACCGTCCTGCTCCTGCTGGGGATGCTGGGCACGGGTAAGGCTGCTGTGGGCGAGCCAGCACTGCCTGGGGGCACTGCAGGCTGGTGGGCAGGCCTGGGCTGGCCAAGGGGAGGCTGGTGTGAGCAGGGTGTGTTGCTCCGGGGATGTGTGATGCGATGCGATGAGCAAGCTGGCGCTTGGATAACGGCGTTGCCTCGAGGGAGCTGAGGGACACTTTGGGGTGAGGGTGATGGGGGACACGGCTCAGCCCATCACTGACTGCGGCCTTGGTGCGTGCAGTTTCCAGGGCTCAGCCCGTGCTGACACAGCCGCACTCCGTGTTCGTGCTGCCCGGGCAGACAGCTCGGCTCTCCTGCACCCTGAGCCCCCAGTACAACATCAGCCAGTTCGGCATCTCCTGGTACCAGCAGCGCCCGGGGCACTCCCTCAGGTATCTGCTCTATTACAACTCCGAGCGAGACAAGCACAAGCCTGCCAAGACTCCCGACCGCTTCTCGGCCACCAAAGACCTCGCCAGCAATGCCTGCATCCTCTCCATCGCCTCCGCCTGCCAGGACGACAACGGCACCTACTACTGCTCCCTGTCCCCTGCCTTCAAATGGCTCTAGAGACGGGAACTAAAGCTTTCCGCGCTTTCCTTGGCGGCCTTGACGTGCTCTCAGCAGGGAGAGCAGCAGCCCTGGCAGGGGTGGGAAAAATCCATCTTTGCACGCTTGAGCAGGCCCGGCAGCGCTGCCTCGTGCTGGGAAGTGCAGGAACCTCCTCTTTGTCCCCAATGTCCCCAATGTCCATGGGGCATTAGACAGCCCCACACGGGAAGATGGAGGGCTCGGCTGTGGCCTGGCTTCCCTGGGCTCTTCCAGCACGAGGCTCGACCTGGCTGGGGCTTCCGCAGAGTTTGGCTCACCTGGTAATAAAGATAATAAAAGTCAATCCTCATCCCCGGGCTCGTGTCGTGTGTCTCTGGCCAGGAGGGGTCTCTGGGCCGGGCCGAGCCCTCAGCCACCCCTGGAGCAGCCGCTGCGCCCCTGCCCGCTCCGCCCGCACAGCTCCTGAGGGGACAGGGACACGCGTCCCCCCGCGGGCAGACGTGGGGATGCTGTGGGGACGCTGTGGGGACATTTTCACACAGGAGGATGAAGGATTTACCCACAAAATTCCCACACAATTCGGGGAAAGGCCGCGCTGGCCGCACTGCGCATGCTCAGCTCGGCGCGCGCGGCGGCGGCGGGCGCCGGGACCCAACGGCGGGCGCCTGATGCCACGTGAGCGGCACCCGGCGCTACCATTGGCTCAGGGGATGACAAAAACCACGCGCGTCACTTCCGGGTTACCTCAGTGCGCGTCGGGGCCGCGCGGCGGTCGGGCCGGGCCCTGCTCGTGTGTTCAGCGTGTGCGAAAAGCCACGCTATTAAAAGCCAGTGTCCACAAAGGAAATAGAGGAGTTCTGCAAATTTATTCGAATAAAAGGAGAGAGTCCAGTACGCCATACCCCCGTGGGGGTCTCTCTCGAGATTTCGGAGGACGCAGCCTCCTTTTACCCTAAACTCCAGGCCGCACGTCGCCCTCTTCCTTTCCCCATCGGCTGAGGTACACTGGCAGGAGCTGGGCACTGGACTGTGTAAAGCAAGCATGGAATAATGAATTCTTGTCTTCACATAACCGAGTCCTGTTCATTATGTTTATCAAAGGTGAAGATCAGCTTGAATTTGGGGACTCCCAAGGGCTAAAAGGAAGCTGCTGATGCAGATGTAGAACATTTCAGGATCTGCTGGAAGTGCCGAGGAGTTTGAACAGGCTGACAGAGCCATCCTGCAGTGGAGCAGTGTGGAAAGGCACAGGCAGACCTGGGAAAGGAGGTGTGGAGGGGTCAACTCCACCCTTTTGCCTCCTGCACAACCAGGAGTGAAAAACATTTGAAATACCAAGGCCTGAACAAGTTCAAGCAAACAAATCTTCCCTGCTCATTGTCAGCAAGTGGACAGCAGAGAGCTGCTCCTAAAACTGGGCTCCTCTTTGAGGAAACTGCTGCAGAGTAACAAGGAAAGAGTTTAGAGACAGTAAACATCCCATCCTAGGCTGCTCTTCTCTTGTGCTGTGGGACTTTGGCAGAAGAACAACTCCATTGGAGTTCTGAATGGTTTAAGCTCACTAAGAGGAACGTAAGTACTATAGTCACAAATGCCAATACAATTCCTTTGGACTAAGGAGGAAAGAAAAACCTACCAATTTCAGTCAGGATCTAAAATATCCCTTCTAGCTGACACAGCAAAGCAGGGACTGAAAGGCATCCACACCTAGCTATGCAAAGCATCCATACTTTCAGCCAGTGACCCATATAAAATGAATAAATAATTCATAATTACGGATGTAGTGTACACCATGAATGTCAAGAAGGGTTCCAGACAGAGAAGCACAGCAGGCATGCTTTGCTCTCTGGAAGGAAAACTCCTCCCGTTACTGCTGTCACTCTGACAAGTCTCTGGACTGCAGAGACACAACTTAACCTCCATTTACAGCTGCAAAGCCACATTAGATATTTTTCCCATGGTGTTCTACAGCCCAGATTGACTCCACAATTCCTGAAATTGAGAGGAACTGTTCAAAGAATGCACTGGCACAGTAGCACGGTACCAGCACTCCAAAGCAGGTGCATAATAAATCGAAGAAAGCAAGATTCAGTCCCGAAGAACTTGAGTTCCTTACTTCCTCTGTTCACCTCTGGCTTTGCCCCCACGTACAAGAGAAGCTTTTCACACTGAGGCTTAGGTGAAGCAGCAGCTGCTGTCTTGTTCTTTTGGATTGAAGTCTCCAGTTCCTTCCTGCTGTTGCTCAGATCTGCAGCTCTCAAACAGGCAGGAGCTCGGGGGGGTACTCGCCGTAGCAGTATTTGGCAATTGGGTCTCTGTAGGTGTTCTCGTGCTGCACGCTCTGCCAGGAAAGGAGGAGAAGCTTTAGCAAAACACACACAGTGAAACAAGGCATCCCTTCACTGAGGGGCAAAACCCACAGCATTTATGCACAGGGAAACAAAATAAATCCCAAATTCTTCTACATATCAGTGTCTTTGGAGTGAAAGAACTCTGCATTGCCAACACACAAGAGCCAGTTGATGTATTACAGCACTGCAGTGTTGAACCAGAACCTCCTTTTCAAGAGAGCAGCCAAGCAGGTGGGAAGAGATTTCATTAAAAAAAAAAATAAATTAGGTATGTTCAGGCAGTATCATCAAATGTTCTAAGGAAGTAGAGCACAATAAAGTTGCTACCTGAAATGTGTGCATTTTTCTTAATAAAGGGTAGAGTTCAGATTTTATGGGTTAAAAAATCCGTAACTCCAGTTAACTTTAGAGACTTCTGGAACTCTATGCTTTGTTTGCAGTCCACCCTCATGTTGCTCCATGAAATAGTGAAGCTGCAGGACATGGCTAACAGCACTTTCTAAAAGGGCCACTGCTTGCTTAGACCAAAACTTCTAATAAAATCCCATAGGTAACAGAAGTTCTCTGTTGTCCTTAACAAGCAAAGAAATTACAACATAGTTTTTACTATGCAGATGATTGTCAGCACATGGTCAGTCTCCAAGTGAACCATAAAATAAAGAGCATTCTGAGGCTACTGGGAACAGCTCTCACTGCTTCCATCCTAATGAGATCTTCCCCAGAACTCATCTCAGATCTGCACTGGTGGTTGAACTCAGTCTCTTTTTAGCTAAGTCCCTCTTTTCTAAGGAGAATGTGCAACTTGTCCTGCTCTAAGTATGTGCTTTGCCCTCAGACTGGCTCTCAGCCACTGCTTCAACTTTCCTGAAAATACAAACATGACACACCAGCCATCCACAGGACTGAGCCCCATTTTCCAAGGGCACTTTTTTGGGCCCTGGACATGTGCTTGTGCCTCACCTGTGATGAAGTCCTACATTTGGCCAGACACAGCTCAAAGTGATCTTCCACTGCCATGAAGAGGTTTTGGAAAGCAATGGCTGCCCGGTTCAAGAACCGCTCCAGGAGGTGTTGCTGAAGAGCAAAGGGAAGGCAAACACTCTGCTTCAGCAAGGAGTAACCAAAACCCACCCTAACCTACAAAGCTCAGGTGTCAGAGGAATAGTAAGCAAGTCCACTTAGGATTTCTAGCAAGCACTGAAAGGCTAAATGCCTCAGGACCCCAGCAGGACAAGAATCTAAGAGAAGCTCACAGGATACGGGCAAGTGCCAATTACAAAACTAACACTGGCTGGAGTAACTCTTCTGCAATCATTTCCCTTCAGCAAATGCAATCCCCTTGAAGCTGAAACACTTTGCAAGGTTCCCAAAGGTGGGAAAGATGAATTTTGTTAAAGCTCTATTTACAGCTTGCCATTTGCTCTTTGGAAGCTTTCCTCATCCTTCCAAGGAAAGGAACTGTCCCTCGAAGGGAAAAGCTCTTCTAAAAGCAGCTCTTTTAGCCACAGAGGAACCCCAGCAGCTGAGAACACCTGGAAAGCAGGAGAAAGGCCATCACCTTGCTGGGCTGCAGGCAGCAGGACACACAGTACTCGTAGATGCTGCAGCAGCCGTTGGGCAGGCAGCTGTCACAGCTGTACAGCTTCGTGCTGGGCACGTTCACATTGCAGCAGCCGTTCACCAGCAGGTCCTTCCTCTCACAGATGTACCCTGGAAAACAGCAACAGGAGTAACAACTGGCAAGGCACACCCTTCTGTTCTACCAAAATCTGCAGGAAGGATCACATTCCTTAAGAGCAGGTTTGTTTATCATTTAGTAGATTATGAGCCCCCTCAGTCCTGTGTAGCCATTCTTTGAAATGGAGAGCCTGGTGTTACCTGCACAACTATTATATCCTACTCTAGTATGTGCTGTATATACATTATGAGTATTTAAGTGCAGATTATTTCAGTTCTGACTTTTTTGGGGAATAGTTCCTTGTTGTGAAAGGGGGAATGGGATTGACATTGGTTATATTGGAAAAAAACCATGCCACATGTTTTTTCAACAGGTCTGTGTCTGGATAATTCTCTTACACCTCAGTATGAAGAGACTTAGATTTAGCCATGCAGGCTGGTGTAATATTAATTGCTGAATGGAATCCTTAACAGCATAGAAATATCCTGTATATCCTTATGGAAGCAGCACTACCACAGTGTTAGAATGTGAGAGATCTGTAATTTTTAGTGATCTTATGAACTGGCACTAAGCCTAAGTCAGGCAGTGCCAAATTTAACACTGATGCAAATCACAAAAGATGTGGTGGGTTTTTTACAGCCTTGATTTGTGGCCAAGAAAGATTCAGGGTCTAAGCAGGGCAGGAAAGGGTCTTTAACTTCTACCACGTTAAACAAGTGGTTAATAACCTTGGGTTTACAAGGGTCAGACAAGATTGTTAACTGTTCTGAGCACTAATTACACCTGCCCTGAGCTGCCTCCATACAAAGCCTTCCTCAAATTGCTCTCCCTAATGCCCCTGACAGTGGGAATACACTGCAGGGAGACACAAAGAGCTCTGCAAATTGAGCAGGACTCAGCATTGGGGTTCTGGCAAAGGTAACAGAAATTCTTTGACTTTAAGGTGGCCACAGTCACACTCATACAGTCCTGGGCCCGAGTCTGGGGTGCACAGAAACAAAGAGCCATGTGAAAATGCCTTAATAAAGAGCAGTTGTTCCATGAAAGTGCCCTCAGCAGTCAGACAGGCAAAGCAGCACTCAGCACGGCCACACACAGAATAAATTCAGTATCAACTGTACCCAGTTCATCTGTAATGAGGAGCTTCCCCTGCACAGAGTTCCTGCACTGGTTGCCGAGCTGACTGCTGTTCCCCGAGCTGAACTTCACCTTCCACATGATGGGCTGCTCATGCTCCTGCACTTGGAGGAGATTCCGATCTCTCACCATCCTCTCTTCCTGCAAGGAAAAACAGGAATGCAACCAAACATACAGGTTCCTTCTGCCACTTCACTCCACGTGCCTTTCCCAGGATTAAAGATGCCTAGTACCTGTAAACTCCACAGCACAGGAAACTCCAGCACCAATGGTGCAAACAATTTACTACCTGTAGTATCTTACTTCATACTGCACACAACAGCAAGATACACAGTGCAGTAAAGTGAGGGTATTCAAGTTCAGCATGGATGAGGTAACACAGCTGAACTCAGTCCCTACAACCACAATAGTATAAATTATATTAATATTATATTAATATTATATTTAATATTATATTAAATAACCACAACTGAACGTATTTCTCTTTCGTGAGCCCTTTGCCAGTGGAATCACCACTCCCAAGAGACACACCAACAACTACCAAACCCACTGGAGACTTTCTTTTCCCACTTTTGGTTCAAACCACTATCGCTGTCAAACACGGAATCAGGCATTCCTATTTTAAACTCCAGCGTCTATGAAATATTATAACATCATTTTTACGGCAGCATTACCCAGCAGTTCGGTGGCAGCACCCGGAGAACAGCAGTCCCCGTGGGATGTTTGAGGGCACCCCGCGGTCCCGGCCGGGCCGGGCACTCACCTGCTTGAAGGTGCTGCTGATGAAGTAAACGAGCGAGAGGGCGAACACCACGCCGAGGACCCATCGCTTCCTGAGCAGCCGCCGCCAGAGCAGGGCCCCGCAGGGCACCATGGCCGGGCGAGGGGCGGCGCGGGCCCGGCCGAGCCGGCATCACCGGCGGCTCCGCAGCGATCAGCGCCGAGCTCCGGGCGGCTCCGGGGCCGGCATCACCGGCGGCTCCGCAGCGATCAGCGCCGAGCTCCGGGCGGCCCCGGCGCGGCCCCGGCGCTTCCGCCCGCGGGGCGGCGGCGGCGGAAGCCGCGATCGGGCGTGCGCGGGGCGGCACCGGCACCGATACCGGCACCGGCACCGGCACCGACACCGATACCGGCACCGATACCGGCACCGACACCGACACCGATACCGACACCGACACCGGCACCGGCACCGATACCGGCACCGACACCGATACCGGCACCGGCACCGACACCGACACCGACACCGATACCGGCACCGGGACACTGGGTACGGGGGCACGGCGGGGCCGGGCTGGGCCGGGGCACTGCGCCACGGATTCCAGCGGGAATCTCCTTTCCTCGCCTAACCTGAAAAAAAGGCCTGGTTTATGTCTGTGTGTGTGTATAGAATTGTATTTTTTTATATCTATATCTATATCTATATCTATATCTATATCTATATCTATATCTATATATCTCTCTATCTCTATCTATCTATATATGTATGTATGTATTTATATGTATGTGTATATATGTGTGTGTATGTATGTATGTGTATATATGTATGCATATATGTATGCGTATCTATATATTTGTATTATGTATATAGCTATATGTCTATACATATGTATGTATAGAATTGTGTTTATATGTATATGTATGCATGTCTGTATATAGATGTATATACATGTCTGTATACCTATACATATATATGTATATATGTGTGTATGTATAGAATTGTATTTATATATATGTATGTGTGTATGTGTATATATATCTCTCTATGTCTGTATATGTATATTAGGTAAATACATGTGTATATATATAGATGTATATATGTATGTATATGTATAGAACTGTATTAATAGATATGTCTGTATATACATGTATGTACACTTACACATATATGTGTATATGTGTGTATGTATAGAATTGTATTTATATATGTATGTGTGTACATATATCTATATATGTGTATATATCTATATATGTATGTATGTCTACATATATATGTGTATATATGTATGTATATGTATAGAACCATATTAATAGATATATCTGGAGATATATATATGTGTATATATATATGTACATGTATGTATATCTATACATATATATATAATATGTATATGTATCTATATATATGTGTATATGTCTAGGACTGTGCTAATAGTCTAATAATATATTTAATAATAATAATAATCTAATAATAACAGTGCTAATAATATAATTAGGTGTACATCACCAGATCTATGCCTACACATCAATGTATATGTAAGTATGTGTATCTACATGTACACATACATATGTGTAGGTACAGATGTGTACATAAAGCACATGTTGTGATGTATGTGTGTGATGTATCCTGTGGTACATGTGCAGCACATATAAACACATTTATGTCTGTGCTGATTACACACACACACGTGTGTGCAGGGGCACAGAGAGGGCAGAGCTCGGCTCTGGGAGCGCTCCCAGGGAGTGCCCGAGTGGGGAGCAGGGCAGTCCCAGAGGGGAGCAGCATTGTTGGGTCATGCACATGGGCACTTGAAGCACCAGGCTTCCTGCACCTCTCTGCCTTTCCCAGGGAGAGGGGGAGCTAAAACCCTTCGTGCTGTGCTGGGAATGACTCTGTGCATGTGCTTCCTCCAGGTGGGCCTGTGTGAGCACTGGTGCTGGCAGACACCAGCTTGAAGGACCTGGGATGAGTTTGAAGTCTGGACTGGCTTGGACTGTCTGAAGCGCTCCATCTGTGAATGTCTGCACGCTCTTGGGCTTCCATCTCTCCCAGTGTGGCACCCTCTGGATGAAGCTGTTGTTCAGGTACTGTGCTTTGAGACAGCTGCAAACCTTCCCAGAGCCATTGTGCCTTTACACATGGGCTACACATTTATGTACATATTATCACGTGTTATGAATAATGTTGTAACTTTTTATATTCAAGAATATTTAGATCTTAGTCTTTACATTTTATTAAGTAGCTGTTGTACTCTGGGGCTATTGTCCAGACTTTGCAAATGGCACTTCTGTAGATTAAAATTAATGAGTTACTTGTTTGAAAGAATATTGTCATGAGTGAATTGTGGTTTTTTTCATTAAAAATGTTTACACATTTTCTTTTTCTTCCTCCCTCTCAGTTTTGCTTTTGCCAAGAAAGTTCCTGCAGAAGAGGAAGATGGGATCTCATTTCCCAAGAGGTTGCTGAGTCACATTGAGAGCCCCTGTTAGATGTGCCCCTGTTCCTTGCCAGGACATGCCATCCCTCCTGGTGACTGCCACTGCCTGCAGAGGGGGACCTGACTGATTCCTGCCCAGCCTGGACACCTTTGTGCCCCCATTCGCCACTCAAAGTTGTCTCTTCGAGCATACCGAGAAACAAATGGGAGCTGGAGATGCTCTGTCACAGAAGCAAATGATTCCTGCCAGCCATGTCCCCATCTGAGCGGGTCCCAGAGCCCTCTGTCCCCAGGGCCTGTGCCAGTAGCCACACTGGGATTTGCTGAGCCACAGGGTTCATGTTGAGCGTGTTGTGTTTTAGGGTTTTGAGGAAAATGCAGAGGCGGCACAGCAGCAACACCGACACCGTGCCTCCTGAAAGGTAAATCCTTCCCCTTCCTCCTTCCTCCGTGTTCCTCTCCCAAGAGGGGTGTTCTGATTTAAGGGGGTGTTTCAGAAGGTAGAAGCTCAAAATTGAGAAAGACATCAAATTCCTGTGTGTGTGTGGTGTGGGCAGGCTTTCTGCTGAGTCTGGGGATTCCTGAGACAAATTTACTTTTCTCCTTCCTGTCGGTTACTGATTTGCTGCCACCCACAGTGTTTCAGGAGGATCCAGGATGGCACAGCTGGCAGCCAGCTGAGCATGGGCAGGATGTGTGGAGCTCTGGAGGAGGGATTGGATTCATGGCCCAGTGCTGTGGGGACCCTGAGCACTGTCACGGTGCAAGGATTGACCTTGTGAACAGGAACCATTTACACTTCTCTTATTTGGGTGTTTAGAAAATCTGCTGGTCTGAAGTTCCCAACTACTCTGATTTAGTGTTTTATAAAATTTTGGGTGACCCTTTACATCTTCCCAGAGTCTGTATCTATCTCCATGTATGTATTTATAAGTAGAATACCTCTAATTTGTTTCTGTAATTATAACATCAGCAAGGGAGCCTTGCCACTGTTGTCCTGGTACTAAATATTCCCTGGTGCTTTCCCAGAGTTAGAGTATGACCTTTTTTATTTTTATTCCTAAAGAAGAAACTAATCTAATTACTCCAAGACAAAGATGGAACTAACAAATTTCATTGCTGTGTTTGAGCTGAGATTATAAGTGAAAGATCATTAGTAAATATTTTATTTTCTATAGCAATTTTCCAATTAGAGTTGAAGCCTTATGTCGTGGCCAGTGCTAGCATGGTACCATTTTTAATTTCAGGGGGAAAGAAAGCCATCTTTAGTTTTTTCCTGCATGATGCTTCTGATTTTTAGCAGGGTGAATACATAGTCAGGAACAGAGGCTGAAGTTTCTCTAACTGTAGGAGGAAGTGCTGTTGCCACTGGTCTTTACTTCTGTTAACTTCAGCAGCCTCACAATTTCAACAAACAAACCTTGTTTGTTTATAAATATGTCACAGATTGATTCCTTCCTGCTGAAAGCACACTCGTGTATCCTGGTAATATTATTCCAAACGATATTTGTGTCTTTCTTTGTAGCACTGGGTTCCTGCCAGGCTGTTTGTTACATTCCCAGCCCTAAACTGTGTATACATCCCTGAACTGTAATGTTAGGTGTGAGTTTAAAGACCTGGCTGATGAATATTTTGGACCAGAAAGAGGTGTGCTTGTTGACTCGATTCCTTGCAGGAGCCTGTGGAGATACAATGGGAATGGGGTGCAGCTATAAAAAGCCTTGTTAGGAGTTTGCTTAGTGAGAAGGTTTGGCCAGAGAGCTTTGAAGGTGTCCCCAGAGGGAGGTGAAAGGCAGAGCTCTGTGCCCTGGGGAGGCTTTGACACCCATGGGGGAGAGAGGGTTGAGGGCCCTGGGTGTGCTGTCTCAACTTGTAAGCTCTATTCCTAAAGTCAGAGATCTCCCAGGATTCAAATCAGGAGAGACCAAAGCTCTGCAGCATGCCTTATTTGTGGGCTTTGCCTCTTGCTGAGGTTTGTTTATTGTTTACCCTCCTTTTGCAGGTTAGAGCAGTGTTTGCTGTCTGTCAAGCATTTACTGCCTGATCATTCTACTTGTTACCTGCATTCTTCCCTCCTGCCTAAACTTTCCCTGTATTGACTGGTAGTGAAGAAAAAAAAACCCTCTTGTCTTTTGCTGTTAGGATAAAGGTCCTTAGACTTTCTTTTTGGAATCTGGCTGTATTCCAGCATGCTCAGGAAAGAATCAGTGCCAGAATTGGTTCTGTCCATTGCCCAGTAATTTGGGTACATCCATGCCCAATTTGCGAAAAATACCAAAATAAAAGAATTTATCTGGACCCATCCTTCACTTTTGTGTCCGGTCAGAGCAAGCAGCTCTCAACACTTCTCTTCCCCTGGTGATTCTGTCTCTTCTGGTTTAATTCACCAGTGGGCAGGTAGTGATTGTCCCAAAGTAAAGACAGAGGATTTTGGGAGTTGGTCATTGCTTTGAGTTAGCTTGGTTAATTTGTTTGTTTATAATATGACTCGACTTGGTGGTGCTGTGTCAGGTGAGGTTTTGTATGTTTTTCTTTAAACACTCAAATCATTATAGAAGATACTGGATTTGATACTGGACGTATGATTTCTTAGTTTTTTCCCAAAGCAAACAGGGTGTTTGGGAGCTTCATTCCTTGGTGAAGGATCTGATGTCTTCTGGTCAGGTCTGGAGAGGTTCTCTGATCTAATTTGGTTACCAGCCTCTGGTTCTACACTGTGACTTCCCGACAGAAAACAGAGGGAAGAGTGAACACCAAGGGCCTTGGCGTGTGAGGATAGCGTGTGAGGAGCTCTGGACTGAAACACCACCGAGCTGCCCTCACCCCTTTTCACTGAACGCTGCACCCTCTGCCCGCTGCAGGAACCGGAGCCAGGCTGTCAGCTCGGAGGCCAGCGTGGATGAAAGCGGAGTGTTCGAGAGCCTCAAGGCCGAGGCCTCCTCCCCTCAGCAGCTCTTCTCGGGGCTGGCCGGCATCCCCTCGGCCTCCATGGCCGCCGCGCCCTTCCCCTCAGGGCTGGTGCTGGGCTCGGCGGCCGGAGGAGGGGAAGTGTTCATCCAGATGGCAGCCCCGAGGGACGAGGGGCCCGGCCGGGCTGAGGGGGCCCCGTTCCACCACCGCACCCCGGCCCATCACTTCCACCACGGCCACCACCGCGGCTCCTCGCTGCTGCACATGGCGGGCGGCGACCGGCACGGCCACGCCGAGGAGGGCACCGAGGAGCCGGCCGGGACCCCGGCCCCGGCCCTCTCTGAGCTGAAAGCTGTGGTCGGTTGGCTGCAGAAGGGACTTCCCTTCATCTTGATCCTCCTGGCTAAAGTTTGTTTCCAGCACAAGCTCGGTGAGCATTTGTCAAAGCTTTGTGAACTGTGGTTAGAGAGTGGTTGGGAGGCTTTATCAGGCTCTGGTGTCTGATACATTTATCCATGTGACAGTGTCCAGATGGAGTCTAGCATGAAGGGAACATACTCAAATGCATGGGATAATGAGTGTGATAAATTCACCCTACTTTCAGAGCAAGCTGTTTTCATGTGGGTCAGATCCATCTGTTTCCTGTCCTGACCAGTCCTGTTCCTTTTCCTGATTCCTCCTTGGTGTTCCTGAGGCTGGGGATGTTACCAAGGCTTCTCCCTCAGAGCTCTCTCTAGGAGAGATGGGGAGACTTACATTGGTGATGGCAAAAATTCCTGTTTTCAGGAAGGGTTCAGAGGGATGAGACTCTTGTCCTGCTGGTAGGGTGGTGGTTGTGAAATCAAGTCCAACAGCATCAGCAGTTACTCTGACAGAGCCTTTCCCTGCAGGAATTGCTGTGTGCATTGGCATGGCCAGCACCTTTGCCTACGCCAACTCCACGCTCCGAGAGCAGGTGGCTCTGAAGGTGAGTCCAGCATTTTGCCTTCTTCTGTTCCCAGCAAACATAATTTTGCATGCACAAAATAGCATCTCTGTTGAACCTTTGATTGCAGTGTAGGGCTGAATGCATTTATATGTCTGCAGATCTGTCTTCCTCTTCCTGCCTCTCCCCACTGATTCTCTCCCAAAGTCACTATCCTGTTTTTTTGTGAAAGTGTGGCATAGTAAAACAAATAGAGGACAGATCTGGGATGTCGTCATCTCCCTCTCCCTCTGCCTGGCAGTGCCTGTTCCAGCACTTCTCTGCACCTTGGTTCCCCATCATGTGCAGCAGAGATGCTGAAGCCTGTTTGACTTGTTAATGATGAGATTTAGCTTATTAGCATTTAGATAATGTTTTGAGATGTTCAGCTGAAAGATCTCGTAGATGTATTGCTTGCTAGCAGCTTTATAATGCTCTATGCATAATGTGCTTAGAATATAAAGAACCCAGCAGATCTCAGGTCTTCTGATCTTCTGTGTCAAGGGGACAGTTCAACAGCACTAAAAGCACAAGGCTAGAATTGTTTCTTTGTTAAAATGGCATGGGTGGCACAAGTGCATGCTTGTATGTACCAGCAGCAGTGGAATCAGTGAGATCCAGCACTGAATGAACAGATAAATGGCACAACCCAGTAACAGATTGCTGTTGCCTTGCACTCTGCACCTCTGCCTTCCAGCAGTGTGTCCCTTCATCTGCCTGCTTTAAATCTCAGCCCAACAGTCCTGGCTGTTGAACAGCTACAGAGACCTCCTTTCTTAATAAATCAGCTCACAAGAAAAATGGTGGGTGCTCTCCTCTCAGGAATAAAATTTACTCCCCAAAGTTGTCAAGGGCCAAGACCCAGGACAGCACCTTCTGCCATCCAGCTTGTCTGTAACATTCCATATATGTTAAAATGCAAAATTTTCGCTTCTTTTCACCTTTAATTATTTCTTCAAACAAAAATGAATGTTCCAGAACCTCCATGCTTTAGGATAACACCCAGATGTTAAGGATAACACCCTCACCATGTAGTGGTGAGGTGTATTTGATTTAGCTGAGCCTTCCACTATGTAACTTTGGACCTACTTATAAAACAGCCCTTTGATGAATTGTCACTCCAACCATGTGACAGCTCAGAATTTAGGACAATACGTGGAATGGACTTTTTTTAATCTGCTTATCATACTTCATCTTAAATATCAGGAGATTTTGGGTGTCCCAAGAAAGATCCCAACTTTGAAGATGCATTCTGCATTTTCATGACCTTGTTTAAATTAATTTCCATTGACAAGGTGACCATTAATTAATTTAAATTAATTTCCATTGACAAGGTGACCTGATTGAGAGGCATTTCTGCTTGTGTTTATGTATGTCTTTACCTTGCAGACTACTTCTTAGTCCTGTGCAAATAAACTAATTACTGAATACTTGGTTATGTATTTGCATCCCCTGGGCTGGATTTTTCAGCAGTTGAAGGCTCAAGTCTTGAGATTTTGAGCTGAAGTAACTCTGCTTCTTTTCCTTGCTCAGGAGAAGAGATCAGTGCTGGTTGTGTTGTGGATCCTGGCCTTTCTCACTGGAAACACCCTGTACTTGCTTTACACATTCAGCTCTCAGCAGCTTTACAACAGGTGAGCAAAATCTACATTGTACAGGATGGGAGCAGGTGATACTTGCCAGGGAGGAAAAGAGGGAAGCCCACATTTCCCCACACAGTGGGAGGAAGCGTGTGTGCCTAAAGGATCTGCTGTCTTTGTTACATCTTATCTCCCAGAGCAGGAAAAGAATGTGTCTGTCACCTTAGCAGTGGATTATACTCCTGTCAATAACAGACACAAGCAGTGTATAAATGGGCCAGGGTGTGATGGTGTCAGAGCAAGGTGGATCCATTTCAAAAATGACCTCTGAATTCCCATTTTGACCCCTGCAGCTGAATGTAAAGTGCAGATGTCAGAGGCAGATGAGGAACTGACCCACTGATTTTCCTGTCCTGTGATGTTTTCAGTCTATCACAGCTGGTGTAGGACAGATGAAATAGCAGTTTTACTCCAGTGTTCTCAGGGCTTGGAGGCACTTGGATCTGAGGTAATTAGGATAGCCTTGCCTTTCAAATCCTGACTGAATTAGTTCTCAAATACAGAAAGGTTTGTGCTAATGGATTTGGTTCAGCACTTATTATAAAGCAGCCAGGAATAATGATGGGCAGGAGGCAGAGAAAGTGGGAGAGCTGAGAAGGTTTGAATGTTTGGGTCTGAGTGGGAGAGGCCAAACCATGGGATTGTCTGGGTGGAGCTTGTGGGAGGGAGTGGAAAGGAACAGGAATGGCAGAAAGGTGTGAAAGTGAAATCTCTTTGCACCACAAGGTAACTGTGTCCTAAGAAGGTGGTCAAGGTTAAAAGCATGAATGACACTAGTTTAAAATAAAGGCTAGATCATCTAAAATGAAGGGATTTTAGCAATTTGGGGCCATCCTACAGACAGTTTAGAATGTGGTTTATCACCAGTGGACAGGCTGGGCCACAGCTCCAAGAAAAGCACCTGTGGGTGCTGCAGTGGTGTTATGCTCAGGCTGGTGTATCTCTTGCTTGCTGTGTGGGGAACTGGGACTACTCAAAAGCCAGGCTTGTCGAATTAGAAATGTCTGCTTCAGTTTTGTTTCTTTCTGGCTTATTTTTCATTTCCTGATTTTTTTTTTTCTTGTTTCTAGTGCATGAATGGTAGTAAAGTCTCTGATTCTGTTTCTGTTTTTAGGGTGTAATTTTACCTGTTGTGCTGTGCCAGTGTTGTGAGTATTTTAAATTCATGTTCAGGCTTTTCATTTTGGGTTGGTTACTTTACTTTTTACTTTGTTGTTGTTTTTTTATTTTTTTTTTTATTTTTTACTGTTAAGTTTTTGCTTTCTACCATGAATTTTTAGCAGGTAAATATCCTGAAGGTGAATCCTGTTTTTTCAGCATGAGTAGGGTCTAGTTCTCATTATTGCTCAGGCCAGTAGCTCCTGCCCATTGCTGGGTGAAATTCTGCTGTCCCAGACTTCGCTTTTTTAAACAGCAAATGTTCAGCCCAGTAAATGACATTATGTAAGGGGCATTAATTTTTGGATCTTTGGTTCAGGTAAGAGTATTAACAGAGCCCAGCTTTTGTGCTTCAGGCAGTGGTCACTCTCAGAGCATGACACGTGTGAAGTTCTCACCTTTCTGCCGTGGCTGGTGCAGAGTTTCCCGTGTCACCACTTTGTTTGATGTGCACAATAGGTTTAGGGGCTGTGCCCCTGTGGCAAAGCAGCCTCAGGGGCTGTGGGGGTGTCCCCCTTCCCCAGAAATCAGAACTGTTGTGAGCAGGACTTCCCAGGACGAGCTGTGGCACCCGGACACCACGGAGCACCCCTGTGCACTGAGGGCACTGTCAGCACACCAGAGGCTCTGCTGCAGGGAAAGGCAGGTTATGGAGACTGCTGTTCTCCAAAACAGACTTTACAGGTGTTTGGGTCCCGTTTTGTGACAATGGACAAACCTGCTGGCCTCAGTAGAAGTGGGCAAGAGCCAAGTCAGGAGGCCCAGAGGAAGCACAGATCTCATTTGTGTGTCTTCCTCCTCTTGCCCTTGAGAACTTCCCTGAGGTTCAGGGGAGTTTCTGGGCTCTGTCCAGCCAGCAGTGAATACAAGGTGATTGAACAAGCTTCTCCTCTGTGGTATTTGAGCTTTGGTGTCTCTTTCAGCCTTATATTCCTGAAACCCAACCTGGACAGGCTGGACTTCTTTGACCTCATGTGGATTGTGGGCATTGCAGACTTTGTGCTGAAGTACCTCACCATTGCCCTGAAATGCCTCGTCGTGGCCCTGCCCAAGATCATCCTTGCTGTCAAGTCAAAGGTAGGAGACCCTTCTTGAGGCACAAACCTTTCTCTTTGACAATCTGATACCTTTACCACACATTTGCACCATGAAATCAGAGAATCATGGAATGGTTTGGGTGGGAAGGGACCTTAAAGCCCATCCAGTGCCACCCCTGCCATGGCCAGGGACACCTTCCACTGTCTCAGGGGGCTCCAAGCCCTGTCCAACCTGGCCTGGGACACTTTCAGGGATGGGACAGCCACAGCTTCTCTGTGAACCCTGTGCCAGGGCCAAATATGGATGGAAGAATAAAAACATTAAAATCTGTTGATAAACCTTTGGCAGAAATTCACCCTGGGACCGGGGGTTGTTTTTTGAGCCATCACAGACCTGAGCAAGAGTTTGGTACTGGCAGCAGTGATTAAAGTCCAGACAGGTGAGGTGAGCATTGCTTGGGGAGGAAGCAGTGCTAGCAGCCAGATAACTGCTTTTCTCACTGACTTTTAGTCTTGTTTTCTGAGTAATCTCTGTAAATTCATATTTCTGAAGCTGGAACCTCTTCATTTCCTGGGAAGAAATTGCAGTATTTGTCTCTTTGGCTTCCCACTTGAGTCAAAGAAGTAACTGGGTTAAACTGAAGCTACTGATGCCACAAAAGACAGTACCAGTTCTAACTGTGGGAGAAGAAATATTTTAGTTAGAGAATGTAGTGAGAAACTTTTAAAAGTCAGGCTTAGCTTACATATGGATTCATGAACATTTAAATATGTGAAGGATTTCTCTTAAAACACCTTTTGATATGTTTTTACTTTTACAGCTCTCTCATGCTGCCTCTTCCTCCACTCAGCAGTGTCCACATTTCAGGGGCAGATGTAGCAATGTGTATTATTTGCATTTGGTAAAGATTTGGTAAACTTCCTGGCAGTGTTGGGATGAAAGGCTGCAAGGTACCAGCATCAATTGCTGAAAGTCTCAGGCAGGGCACTTCAGGGTCTATCTAAACTGGGAATAGTTTTCCTTGGAAATGACATGGGTGGCAGGGGAGTTGAGCAGTTTGTTCCTGCACAGCAGGGCATTCTGAGATGGTTATTAATTTATTTCTGGCAACTGTCCAGCTTTTTCTTTTTTTTTTTTTTCCTTCCTTCTTCTATTATTATTATTATATTTTGGGAGATTAATGTGCTGGGTCAGAGCATAATCCAGGCTGTGGAGGGGGGGAGAAGTGATGTGAATAGTCTTCCCAAGATAAATGGCAGTGTTGGAAAAGGTTCACAGCCTTTGCTTGCTTGTCTGAGAGCCATCCCAAGTACTCATTAATCCTTGTCGGGAGAGAAGAAAGAGAAGGGGTCTTTATTTGCAGCTCCAGTGAGAGGCTGGTAGGATCACATCTGTCAAGGGCCTGTAATGACTCAGAGCACAGATGCTTCATTTTTAATACCTTTTTCTGGAGAGCAATGTGTCTCACTTTTTTTAAGCCCCTTTTTTGTCTTAGGATGGTGTGGATGGTCTCGCTGTCCCCTGGCACTGCTGTCCCCCACCACCAGATCTGGGTTTGGTTCTCTCCCCCACTCCACAGTCCTTAATGCAGCCAAGGATGAGATCTGGTGGAACAAATTAAGTGAGATCAAACTGGGATGGGAGGGCTCCAGGAGAACCACAGGACACCATGGAAATGATAATTGTGATCACATAGCTGAGCTCCTTCCCAGAGCCTGCTGACCCAGCTGACTCCTGGCTTGCTCAGGTGAGGGATTGAAATGGCAGCTTTTGCTCAGAACACTTCTAGTGCAATCTAGGCACATTAAGTTTGACCACAATTTTTAGCAAGTTTTTTGTCTGAATACTTGCAGATACAAAGTTATTCTCTTCCTCCAAGTAGTATTTCCACCTGAAGCCCAGCTTGGACTCCATGAACTTCTGGGTAGTTGTCACTTAATGGTAACAGGCTGCTGGAGAAATATAAATTTAACTCAGTAGAGCTGGATTTTTCCAGGATGGGGATTTATATACAGTGAGAGGTTTTTGTGCCAGTGTAACTACTCAGAGCAGCAGCCTCTTGCTCCCCTGGTAGAGACCCTGCAGTGGAGGTTGCTGCTCTCTCAAGGCTGGAGTTCAGCACAGAGGGATTTCATCCTGAGCTCCCTTGCAGTCCCCTCTTGCTGGCAGTCAGCAGTAGATCCTGAAACTTGCCCATGGATGGGATGTGGGGAACTTTGATCATCCTGCACTCAGCCTCTGAGCTGGCTCTTCAGGTTTGCCTCATTTTGGAAGTTCAAAGGCACTTGCAAAGCTTGTCTGGCTTTTCCTGCTGCTCCTTGGGATTTTGGTCTTCTCTGAATACTGAGTGGCTTTTACTTTTATTTATCAGTCTTCATATCTCCCTTGTCTGTAGAGACTGAGCACCAACTATTTTTTGATTCTTTTCTCAGAGATTGTTAATTCCAGATCTTGTTATTCTCTTCTGGACTGTCTTCATTCCCTCCTTGTTTTCCAGACCATTTCTCCAGTCTGTCAAGATGAATTTGGGATATAATCTTTCTTTCCAGTGTATTTACATCCTTTCCCTGTTTAGTGCCAGCTGTACATTACTCTGTTCCATCAAGATCATCAATGAAAATAGTGACTAGCACTAAACTCTGCTTAGATCAGTTGGGTGCATCTTTTCATTTTGAAGGTAAACACATGAAAAATCCGGGTTAGAACACTCACTTCCTCCCATCCAAAATACCTGGGTCTTGTTTTCCTAGTATGGCTCATCACAGGAAGGGCAAATTTTGGTGTAAATTTCTGTGATTTTTAGCATCAGTTTATGCTTTAACTGGGAAAAAACAAACTGAAATTGAGGGGCAGAAAAAGTTTGTCTTTGCACAGTGAGCAAAACCCATGATCATGGGTGCTTGAAGTGTGAAGGATGAGAGCTGCTTTATTATGAGGGTACAACCAGCCAGAACTCTCCAAGCCTGAGCAACTCAGAAACTCAAGATCTTTGCAAGCAACTCCTCCAAAGAATGAGGAAAGGCTGAAAAATTGACAAAACAGTCCCAGACTTTCCCAGGTTCCAAACCAACCTGGAAAACAGAGGCACCAAGAGAGGCTGTGAGACTCCAGTCAGGCTGGAATGCAGGGAAAGAAGAGTTTGTGAATTGGAGGGAAGAGCAGGAAAAGGAAATAAGGGCAGGATCAGCCTGCTGTCCCAGCTCTGTGGTTTCCAGAAGGATCATGCCTGTGGCTGGAGGTGTCCCTCCCTCCCCCCAGGCTGTGACAAGGACACCGAGCTGGGCACAAGTTTCAGCAACAGCTGAGCTCATCGTTCCTTTGGAAGGGGGGGCTTGGCTGAAGGCTCTCCATTAAAAAAGGCAAATAAGATCATTTGTTCAATATAAAATGAATTAAAGTAAATTAAACTGCAGGAGCCATGTGGCCTGCAGAGGCTTCCATTGTTGTGCACACATCAAGGGCAGCTTTTCATTTTCACTGCGAAGGAATGACAGCTTGAGGGGGGTGGAATTCAAAATCAGGAAATAAATAATAAAAAGACACAGTTGCCAAAGATTTCACTTAGGAAATCCCAGGTGCCTGCGAGCCTCCCATCCCCTCCTCATGTTGTCAGCAATCTGAGCTGGAGAAGTGAGTGAAACATGGGGGGAGGGAGAAAGAAAATCAAACCAAATAAGACTGTAAGAAACTGTTATTCCAAGTTCTTACATCTGTGTATTCCTATAGGGGACAAAGACCCCATGGACATTTTGATACATAAGAAAGGCCCTAAGTAAGAATTTTCTCTGCTTGCTCAGGGGACTGCACTTCCAGGAGTGTGAAAATGCAGGAGAACACTGGCATTGGCCCCTCACTGAAGCTTTGGAAATACTTGCTTGGTGCTTGTTTCCAGTTGAGTGTTTTATTAGTGCTTTTTATGTTTAAAGTACCATCTCATCAAGTCTGCCAGAGAAAACTCAGCCTGGATGTGGCAGCAATTGCAAATTCTGCACTCAGACCTTGGACCAAAAACCTTCTTCAGGTGTACATCATGTTTCCTGCCACAGATGGGTACAGCTCTGCCATGAACCTGGCACATCAATTCCCATATTCCTTCTGAAAATGCACCTTTTTTTTGTCCTAAGGGGGAAAATAAAAGCCTCTTGGAGCATTTGAGTCCTCTGAAACACAGAAGAAATAAAAACTCGCTGGGAGCTGGCTCATAGGTGATGTTTAATAAAAAATACCCAGGCAAAAATGTTCCTGGTCCTTGTCTTTGCAATATGGAATTTATTCCTGCTCTTTCCTCCCAGTGTGGCTGAAGAAGTGTTCCCAGGCAGGTGACAGCCCAGCCTCTCATTCCCCTCTCCTCTCTGACCTTGGATCCTCTTTGGGGGAGCTCACTCCCAGCCAGATTCACTCTTCATGGGCAGCAGTGTGAGCCTGGATCCTCTCCAGGATGTTCTGCAAAGACTTTTCCCTGCTGCAGCTGGAGCTGATGTGCTGTCCCAGAGGCACAAGTGCAGGATTTATCATTTACAAAATTAAAAAAACTAACTGAAGCATAAGAGCAGGTACTGAGAGTGAGGACTCCTCTGTCCCCATCCCTGAACTTGCTTTGCAAGTCACTGCTACTGAACTTTTTAAAAATCATTGCCCTTCAGTGCTTTCCCAGTTTAACTTTTCAGTTTAAGATGTGAAAGGTGTGATTTTCAGAAGCCTTGTGCACTAACTAAAATTCTCATTTACCCCTCTAGTCCCACCTTGACATGACTCCTCATTATTCCTGCATGGATTTTCACCAGCATCCTCCATGCCACAACGTTGTTTACTGTGTAAATCTGGGAATTTGCTCTGTTTTGCTGCTCCTACCCAACACTTGATCTATTGGCACCATGACCTGGAACCTCAGCAGAGCCTGCACTCCTCTGATCCAAATTGCCAGCAGGTCTCCAAAGCTTTCCCGAGCATCTCCCTGTTTCAGAATATGCCCTAATGCTGCTGGCAGCAGAGCAAGTGAGACTTGGAGCTCCTCTTGAGTGCTAATCACACCCTGCAGTTGCCTCATGGCAACTTCTCTTGCATCCCCCAGTCTGATTCCTTGCTGTGCCTCTCTGTTCCTTGTGGGGAGGCACACCTGCACTGGGGCAAAGCCTTATGGCACAAGAGGCTGCACAGCGAGGCCCTGGGGGAGTCAGCATTGCCTCTGCTGCTGCAACCTGCCCCCTTTGCCATCTCTAGGCTGGGATTCAAGTTTTAATTATACTGTTCCATGTTATTTTTCTGTGAGACTTCTCCCCTCCATCACCACGCCCCGAGGATGAAGGTGAGGGATTGAAAGAAACTGTTGCAACGAGTGGAAAGTTCACAGGAAACAAAGAGGCTGCTGGAAGAACATTCTACAAGTTCAAGTTGAGTGCTACACTGGAGAATTAAATCCTGTCCTTTCCTTTGCCAAGTAATTCCTGTGTGAGTATAGAAAAGTCAGGTAGGGCTGCAAACTGAAGTCAGTGGTTCAGCTTTTAATGGTAATGTGATCTGTAAAATGAAGTGCTTTATAAAAAGTCTAATCCCAACACCTCGGCTTGGACACCAAAACAACCTTACCTTGACCTTTGTCTTTGTGTGTCTCAGGTTCTCATTTAGAAAATGCAGAGAAAAGCTGTCCCTGAGGTCAGCCAGCAGCTTGAAAATAAAGGGGGTTTAAAAGTGTTTTCTGTAGTGCTGATGTCGTAAAGGGACTGAAGAAATTCTAGGAATGTGCTCCTCTGAGCAGAGCTGAAATGGCAGGAGAGGATCAGATGCAGATCTGCCATCGAGTAGTGAGGATGTAACAAAATACCAAGAAGTTGCATGCTCAGTGTGCAAAACCAGGCAGTGCAGTACAGACCGAAGGGAAAGTGCAATTGTTTGAGAATGCTGAATTCCCCCTCTTTCAAAATAAGTGCTTGAAGTGTAAAAATGGTCTTTCTGTGTGGTGAAGGAGGTTCAGAAAAACGGGGGGATTGTACACAAGTCATTTTTAACTGAGAAAAAGGAATCAAAATTTCACCATGTGGTATCTGAGGCTCATCAGCAGAGCTGCTAAAATTAGATCCCAGCAGAGCCCCACGTGTGCTAATGAAGTGTTTGATAGCAGCAGCAGCAGCTCCCCCAGAGCTCCCCCAGAGCAGGCAGGGCCAGCACTGCCCGTCTCACTCCTTGGCCAGGCTGAGCCCTTGATGGGAGCAGAGCCTTTCTCCTGTTCTCTGCCCCCATTACCCTCATTAGGAGGTAATCATAATTCCAGGTAATATCCTATTGAATCTCTGCACTTCAGCTGCTCCTGCACTGGGGCTGCCTCACAGGCTCACCAGAAAGATTCTGCTGATCTTAGAGAGCTGTTCAATCCCCTTACAGTGCATTCCAGAGAAAATTCCCACATTTACACTGATTTTTGCAGTGTAGGAAAAGTCACCTGACAGAGACAGGCCTTGCCTTATTTCAAGCTGTGGTGCCAAGTCAGATGCACAGGAGAAATAATGATGTTTGTGCTTCATATAACACACAGTTCTAATCTTGAAAAAAACAACAACAACAAAAAAACTGATATATTTTAGCTGAATTTTTCAGACAAAATACAGGTTGAGACAAAGGTTTGACTTTGAAAAATGTAACCTAGATAGCCATGAGATAACAGAGCTGAGAAGTGGCACACAGGAATGTTGAGTGTGCTTCGTTGCTGCTATCAGAAATCTCCATTTTGCTGCTGAAACTGTAGGGAACAATCCTCATTTTCCAAGCTTCTGGCTCAGAAGGAGGGCCTCACTTCTACAGCAGCCCTTTGTGGAAATATTTCCGATTTTCTGGTACTTTCCCATGTTTAAAAAAGGGGCTGGTGTGGTGCACTGAGATGTGTGATGACTTAGAACTTTCTAGTTCTGTTCAAATGATGCTCCATTCCTGGATTCACTCCAGACTTACCAACATTTAATGGTCAGGTGGGTGCTGCTGTTAAGGGGCTGCACCAAGGGATGCATCCCTTAAAACTTCACTCTTGGGAGGCTGTGACCAAGTTTCTAACTGCTAAAAAATCCTGGTACCCTGCAGTTACCACTGGAAACAGAAGATTTACCTTAGATAAGGGAATTCTGAAGTTGTGGTTGGAGAGTGAAGTTTGTCACTTGCTGCCACTGGCACCTGCAGAGCCTGGCTGTGCCCCCTGCCCCACCTTTCCTCACACCTCGGGTGTTTGAGCGCAGCAGGATCCCATTGGGATGCTGTGTCTGATGCAAGGGGACAGCGGGATCGATGGAGGACGCTGGCTGGGAGGGACGAGCTGCAGAAAGCAAAGTTTGCTGCCTTGATCTTGCTGGGAGCTTTCATCAGAGCCGTGTGCGGGGACAGCGCTGTCATTTCTGCCACAGGAGTGCCCAAAATAAACCATGATTGCATCGCAGCACGGGCTGAGAGAGAGCTCTGTGCTAATTTAGTAATTGCTGGTGTTCCGGACAAAGGATTGCTGCTGTTCTCTGCAATGCCAGCCTGGGATGGAGAGGGGGAGGGATGGGATGGGATCCATGGGATGGGGATGGGGATGGGATCCATGGGATGGGGATGGGGATGGGGATGAGATGGGGATGGGGATGAGATCCATGGGATGGGGATGGGGATGGCAGGGAAGCAGCCGCTGGTGTGACCTCACTCGCATCCCGGGGGACATGAGATCATGAGCGTGCCAGAGCTCTCGGAAGGGTTGGATTTGTCGGGAGCAGCAGGATGGCCCGCGAGTGATCTCATCGCAGCCCCCGGGGAAGGGCGCTGGCTGCTGCCAGCCCGGCTGCCAGGACTCAATCCCCATCCCCACCTCAGCAATTAGTGATTGGCCTGCGATGACATCACTGATGACAGAGCTAACTGGGACAACACAGCAAAATTCCAGGGGAATTTCCCCTTCTCCAGGAGCTTAGCAAATAAAAGGATTTTGACAGGATGAACCCGAATCTTTCAGTCCAGATAATGTCATTGCAGATTAAGCATTGTTCTGGGCTCGGTTTGCCACCAGCTGTCCCTGTAAAACAGCGTGGGACAGAACAAACTGGGGCTGGCCCTAAATTACACACTTATTCAGGCTTGGGTGAAGGCTGACAAAGGATGTTGCCCATTCTTGGAGTCTCTTTTGAGACAGAAGCATTTCAACCAGCACACTTCCCCCTCCCCACCTTTCCTTCTTTCATTCCTTCAGGAAAGTTTGGTCCCTTTGGGTTTGAAATGCCCTGAGGGTTTGATTTTCAGCACCAGCCTTTTTATCTGTGCACTGCCCAAGAGCCAACACACACCTGAGGGGAAGGATGCTGGCAAACATCATTTGATTCTTTGGGATTACCTAAAAAGTCGTCAGGAAAACTGGGGTCACTTTACATTTAATCCCTGTACTTTCAGAAGGGGTGTGAGGTCAAAGAGATCGAACTTGCTTTCCTTTTCTCACTAGTAATGATATTTACAATTTACATCATATTAATCCTATATTAACCTTTGCTTTTCTGCAGCATTGTCTGGGTACACCATTTATTACCTATCCATAACCTGCTCTAAAGTTTAAAATCCCAAAATGTGGCGTAGCTGGGTCAGTGACAGAGCCCTGGAGGGGAGGAATGGAGGGATGTTTATCCTTTCTAGGCACAGAGTTCAGGAGAAAACTGCACCTCATGAATGTGGTCCCTGCACCATTTAACAGTGAACACCAGCCCTGCACAAATTAAACGTTCCTCTTTTGACTTCCAGATAATAATCGTGGTCTCACTTGCCTGGTTGTCTTGCAGGGGAAGTTTTATCTGATTATTGAGGAGCTGAGCCAGCTGTTCCGCTCCCTGGTCCCCATCCAGCTGTGGTACAAATACATCATGGGGGATGATCCCTCCAGCAGCTACTTCCTGGGTGGGATCCTGATCATCATGTACAGCCTCTGCAAGGTGAGCACTGAACAGCCCCAGGGAGCTGTGGCAGGAGCAGGGGGAGCAGCACAGCTCCAGGGACAAATTCACCTTTTGCTCGTGCCCTGCGCAGGGAGCAGCAGCAGCAGCAGCCGAGGACACGGCTGTGCTTCAGCTGCCAGAGGCGGTTCTGCTCCCCAGCATGTGGGCATTGCTGGGCTGCGGGAGGATCTGAGGCTGCTCCCGGTGTTGCATCAGACTCATGAAGTCATTGCTGCTCTCTTAATCCCTCTCTGCAGAGGCTGCAGGAGAAGCTGAGCCGGTCCTGGGGGAGCGGCTCCACACCTCCAGATGTACACAAAGGCAGGCTGCACACACTCCCATGGCTGTCTCCAAGCTTTCCTCTGCCACTCACAGCTCTGAGTGCAGCACCCAAATCCTGCCTGGATAAAACAGGTCCCATCCTCGCTCCTGGTCTGGCTGGTAAAAGTGATGGACAGGAGTGATTCGTGTTTCCTCAAAAATAAGAGCACAAAGTTGGTGCAATTGTAAATGAGTAGGTGTGATTTAGAGGAGTCCCAGGTCTAGAAATAATTGTATTTCTAATGGTGTGTGTTAAACCCTGCCCAGGGGTAGAGCAAACTGTGATAAACCAGGTGCTCACCCCTCTGGGAAGGGCCAGGCTTGCTCCATCCCAGATTCCTGTCTGTGCCTGGCTCTGCAGGAGCACACTGAAAAATGAAGAATGGAGAATATATCCAAGCTGGAAACAGCTCAGAGGAGCAGAGCAATGCTGAATTACAGTGTAGCTCTCTATTGTGTAGGAATAGGGTCCTGCAGCCCCTCCTGTCGAGGGCTTTACAGTTCTTGTGAGTGAATTAGGCAGAGGAGCTGATGGCCAGTGAAGTGATGTGGTCACAGCAGGTCTGAGCCAAGGCAGGAGCAGAGCAAAGCGTGCCAGGACAGGAGCACACGAGGCCAGAGCAGCTCCCTGCACACCCCTCCAGCCCCAGCCCTTTCTGCTCCTCTCTCTGTGCTCTGGGGGAGGATTGTTGGCCCTTCCAGAGGTGTCATAGCCTGGACCTGCTGCAGCATCCACCCTTCCCTGCCCCTCTGGCTTGGCAGCTCAGGTGTGCAAGAACAGATTTCAAGTGATCTTTCTTGTTCCCTGCTTCCAAAAGTGACCCATCCCTGGAAAAGGGATGCAGTTCCATGTGCCATTACCTGGAGAAGCCCTCGCAGTGGGAAGATGCTGGTGGGGAATTCTGCTCCTTGGGGCAAGGGGAGCCAAGCTCAAAACCACAGCTGGCAGGGAAAGGCCTCCCCAGGCAGGGTCAGAGTCCAGCAGCTGCAGGGCAGAGCCACAGCAGGGAGGCAGGCTCAGGGTGAGGATGAGGAGTCACCCCAGGTGCTGGGGTGTCCAGAGCAGGGGGATCTGGAGCAAGGCACGGCCAAACTGGACACCAGCACCTTCAGAGCTGAGACCTCCAGGGCTGAGCTTAACTAGAGCTGCTGTGCCAGGGGCAGGGGCTGTGGGAGGAGAGCCCAGCTGAGGCTCCTCAGGGCCTGGCACAGGTGGGAGCAGTTCCTTAGGGGTTAATTTGATGTTGCTGTCCTGTGAAGTGTTTATAGGGAGTGTTGGGGTGGTCTAGATTGGAAAAGCAGCTTTGTTTTTGGAAGTTTGTGTCCAGGTCAGGGTTAGCCCTGTGCACACCAAGACTTTAAAGGAAAAGGGAGAGCTCCTCTCCCCTGGCAGGGCACGGAGCCCTGGCTGTGCCCATCCCATTGACAGCCCCCAGAGCTGCAGCTCCAGCTCCTTGCCCGAGACACTGAGAATATCCCCAAAGGAATCCACATTAGCAAAGCCACAAACCACATTAGAAAAACCACGGAAGCCAATTTGGCACTGAGAGCTTCTGTGCCCCTGGCAAAATTCCAGGGCTGGGCTGGGGCTGTGTCCCCTTCCCCTGCACTGAGGGCAGGAGCACTTCCAGGAGTTTGCATGGAGCTGCTGGGGGCTGTGCTGGTGCCTGTGGCTGCACTGTGCAGTCATGAGCCTTTGGTTTGGTGGAGCAGCCCCAGGTGTTCACAGGCAGAGCATCCAGGTTGTATTTTTTCCCTGTCCTGAGCAGAAGCACTCCCAGTTGTGAAATGATGGCTGGTACAACGAGAAATGGGTGTTTCCCCTCTGAAATCTGCAGCTTTTGGGGGTGCAGGGAGCTCCAGAGGGAAAGAAAAGAGTGAGGAATATAGGCTGGGAGAGAGGAGACACCTGAGCAAAGGCACTGGAGTCATGCTGTGAGCAAAGCATCCAGGAAAAGCTGGGAATTGCACTGTGGAAAAGGGCTGATCCCCATCCCTGGTAGGAGCTGGAACGTCTGAGGCAGTGGGCAGCCCCAGGTGATGGCTGCTGAGTGGAAGCATTACTGGAAGGAGCCTGGGAGCCCTGTCTGTGCTGACTGGAAGCATTATTGGTGCCTTCATTTGCCTCCACATCCATTGCAGGATGAGCTCATTGGCGTTCCCTGCAGTGAGCCCACTCAATCACGCTCACCAAAACCACAGAAGCAGCAGAAAGCCAGCCCTGCTCTCTGTGCCTGTGCAGTGCTGCTCCAGCTCTGCAGCCTCCCTGGCCCTCAGGTGACAGCCAAAATCTCCTGCTGTGCCCACCTGCTGCAGGGCTGGGCCTTGCACTGTCACCTTTTCACATCTTGTTTAGTTCAGTGTCTTTCCCTGTGCTCTGCCAGCAGACAGGGAAGATAAAGATGGACTGGATTAGGTTTTAAAGCTATTTTCTTTTCTTTTCTTTTTCCCTTTTCCCCTTTCTCATTTCCCCTTTCCTCTTCCCTTCCCTATGGGCACTGGTTCATTTTAGCCCTTCCCTACCTGGTGGGGTGGACAATTGTCCCCAGCACAGCCTGGTGCCAGCCCCTCTCTGTGTCCTGTAAAGTCCCCAGTTTGCAGTCAGCTGCTCCCAGAGCTTTTCTGGCCACCCTTCCCCACTGTCAATTCCCATTTATTACATATTTCATGATCACCATGAAATCTTTTTTGGCACCATTGTTACTTTTTCCCCTCTGAGCATCCATTTGGAGAATGTTTGCCGAGTTTCTGGACTCAGACACACGCACACACGGAGATTTTGTGAAAATGATCTAAAATGGGATGTGTTTTTTGCAGTCTTTTGACATCTGTGGCCGTGTGGGAAGTGTCAGGAAGGCGCTGAAGGTCCTTTGCACCCCCCAGGTAAGGAGTTAAATGTAGAGGAGCAGTCTCAGAGGTAACAAGAGGTTCTTGTTCCTGCTGAATGATAAAAATGAAAATTGCTCCGTGCATCAGGACCACAGAATAAAACAGCGTTATCTATCCCATGGCTGACAAGCTGGGGGCTCCTGTCAGGCATGTCAGGACATTTCTGACATCTGCCCTGCCCCAGCTCTGGTGAGAGATTGTTCCTGTTCTGTCTGATTGGAAGCTCTGTGTAATGTGGATTAATCCAACTGCAAGGAGCTGACAAAACTTTGTAGTGCAGAGCGTGGGAAGGACTTTGTGGTGCCTGAGGTGCAGTGGCATTGAAAGAGACCCTGCAGTGCACAGGAATTATCCCAGGCACTGCATTCCACAGTGATTTAGATCTGCTGCAGTGACTTACATTTTGAAAGGGTAAAATCAAAGACTGTAGAGGAAAAGAACCTCATCAGAGTTTGTTGGAGCTTGTCTTGCTTATTCCCTGGGCTTGGGCTGGTCATTTTCCCTCAGCAGGTTTCTGTTTCCCCTAAATCTGTTACAGTGGGAGAAGCAACGTTTACCTTCCACGTATCTGAGGGGAAAGTGGGCAGCCTGTGGGTGCTGCTGTTATTCTTTCTTCTATTGTCTACTTGCTAATAATAATAATAATTCCTCCCTCCATCTGAACACCCTTGCAAATGATGCTGAATTAATCCTCTCAGCTCCCTGTTGAGCTCATTAAATTCCATTATCCTTGCTGCACAAGTGGAGGCCCTAAAAGATGGAGTCAGCTCGAGGGGAAAGGCAAAGAGGGAGCACAGAGCTCCAGACTCCCTCTGTGCCCCCTTCCCCAAGCACCGACACTGCTGTCCCTGTGGGGAATCTGGGGGTGAAAAGCAATTTTTGTGCACATTTACCCTTTCAATCCTTTGAGATGGGGTTGGTTTTTTTTCCCTCCTGTCCCTGGCAGACCTATGGAGTCCGTGCCACGAGCCAGCAGTGCAGTGAGGCAGGAGACATCTGTGCCATTTGCCAGGCAGAGTTCAGGGAACCTCTGATCCTCCTGTGCCAGGTAAGACCCCAAAACTCCCCTGTTGGCATTCCTTCAGTGGGGAGAGGCACAGCCAGCCTGGGTACTTCTGAAGTCCTTTGATCCAGCTCCTGGTGGATATTTATTGCCCTGGATAACCACTGGATTGTGATGGGGTGACGGTGGCTGTGGGATGGACACAGCCTTGTGGGGCAGGGACTGCAATGGGCAGTGCAGATCCTGGGTCTGGGGTGAGCAGAGTTTGACCTGCCCCTTCCCTGCGGGGGCTGGGGAGCTTTAACACTCCCTTTTGATAGCAGGGTTATCAAATTAAAGCCATCCTGTGCTTCAAAGGTGCCTCTTAGCCTCGCTGTGAACATCTGTGCAGATGTTTCCAAGCTGGAAGCCCCTGAGAAGCTGCCTTTGGATCTCCTTGGCAGAGCTGGGATTTTGAGGAGTGACATTTCTGCTGGCTCCACGTGTGTGGAGGAGTTCTCAGCTTCTCCCAGCTCCTCGTGCTCCCTCCTTGCCCTTTTCCTGCTCTCCCAGTCGGGGGGTGGATGGTGTGTGCTGGAGAGACCCGGGCAGCTCAGTGCAGGAGCACGAGGAGGAGCTGGGGGGTGAAAACTGAAATTTGTGGGAAAGGGGAAACTGGGGCTGCAGAATAAAGCAAATCCAAGGAGCAGGGGAAGGAAGAGGTTATTGGAGCTCTTTGATAACTTGGGAACTGAGGATGGAAATATGGTAGAGAAAACCCTCTCAGCTCCCCTGTCAGAGCTCCCCTGCCAGCCCAGGTGCTGTAGGCCTTTGGAATTCCTTTCTAGTGCTGTTATTAAGCCCAGATGAACGGTGAGCTTTGGCAAGGCGGGGTTTATTTCCCACACCCTGGGAGTGCCAGCTGCACCGGCTGCCTCCCTGCTGGTGGTGACAGTCCCCGTGTCCCCAGCACGTGTTCTGTGAGGAGTGCCTGTGCCTGTGGTTCGACCGGGAGAAGACGTGTCCCCTGTGCCGCTCGGTCACCGTGGACACCCTGCGCTGCTGGAAGGACGGCACCACCTCTGCTCACTTCCAGGTGTACTGACAGCAGGGCTGGGCACAGGAGCAGCTGGAAAATCCCAGGATCTCTGCTCAGTTTTGTTGTCTGTTGTTTTGTTGTCCTTCTTCCAGCTCTGAGCCAACTGAACAATTGTGACTGGCCAGAAACTTGACCCTGGAAGGCAGGGGAGGTGTGGGTGGTTATGGTGAACTCCAGGGTGTTTCTGGAGCTTCCAGGGTTACAGAGGGTCTGGGATGTTTCCTATTTTCCTGTCCTTTAGTATGGACAAACACTGAGCATCCAGGGCAGGGGAGCTGTGAGTGCTGAACAAAGCTGTGCTCTGCCTGAGGAGCTTCGCGTTACCTGGCCCTGCATTCCCTGAATCCCTGACTTTGCAGGATTACACAGCTCCTCTCCCTGAGAACTCTTCCCAGGCTTCAGAACCTCGTGTCCAAAGCTGCAGTTGGAGAAATGTGATTTCCCAGCTGCAGCTTTTCCAACTGATTCCACAAATGGCACACGTTGTCACCTTCAGAGAATCACAGGGAGCTTGGGAAGGACCCGCCAGGGAAGCTGGAAATGACACTCTCCTTTCCCATGGAGAGTTTCCCAACATTCCCTGGAAATGTTTTTCCTCTGTAATTTTCATGAAGAGACTTTCTGATTTCCCAGTCTCTGGGGAGAACAGAGGGAGGTTAAAGCTGAGTTGGGTTTGTCTGGATGGAAATCCAGCACCTGACCAAGAGCATCTCACAAACTCAGTGCCCTGTGCTCCTCAGCCAGGACCTGCCTGGCAGGGAAAACCAGAGCCTTGAGCTTCAGCAGGAGATCCCTGACAGCAATTATCAGGAATTAACCCCATCCCTGTGGCCGAGGTCTCTGCCGAGGTTCTCCAGCAGCACAAGCCCTCAGAGGGAGCTGCTGATCGTTCTGGAGCTTTCTCTGTCCCCAAACCACCTCTGCTCCGTCAGGAACAGCAGCACCTTCCCAGCTCATTGCCATGGAAATGGCTCAAGGTGACAGCCCCACCTGAGCCATCACGGGAAGAGGCTCCTGAGGGAGGGAGGCTGTGTCTGTGCTGATGGAAACTCCACAGGGGAGGAATGGAAGCAAACGGGAGCTGATGGGAACAGGATTAAAGCTCTGCATTCCTTTGGAAATAACTCAGCTCAGTGTGGCTGAGGAGGAATGGTGAGAGCAGAGCCTGAGCTGGGGAGAGTCCAAACCTCGCCTGGGAGGTCCAGGGAAGCAGAGGAGGAAAAGCTTTACTTTCCAAAACAAAGTGATGTCAAATTCTTGTCTAATGGATCCTGTGGAAGTGGAGAATTAAGGCAAGGAATCTCATTGCTCTCTGCAATGGGAATAGCTTCCTTATCTTTGGGATGGGAGAGTTCAGAACAGCAGGGAGCAAGGTTTTCATTGGGCATAAAAAATGTTATGTGGGACAGCCTGGAATATTCACCAGGAAAAGGGGAAATCAGTGATTCCATGGGCAGGGAGTTTCTGGAAAGCCTCAGTGTCACTGCAGTGCCAGTGAAGCCGAGGCTTGATGTTTCTGCTTTCAAACTGTTTGAAAAGCTACTTCTCATTCTGATGTTTTTACCCTAAATGCTCCTGGAAAATGTGTTTGGAGAAGTGTAGGAAAAACTCAGTAGGAGCCCAGCTCTACAGAAAGTGTGGGATAAACTGCTTCAAAACTCAGTTTTTATTTGGTGGTAAGACAGGAAATCGAAGCGAAGGTGTGGGTTTGCATTCTTAAAGTTTTGGGGTCTTTCTGGGGAGGATGGTCCTCCCTTCTCGTGGAATATGACTCTTGGACCAGAAAACATCCAGGGGAAACTTCAGTTCCAATGAGAGCTGCTGGGAACCTGTTGATTTCCATGGGAAAACAGGGAAGGCTGTGGAAGGAAATTCCTCCGAGAGAGAAAATAAAATCCGGAGCCTTTTTTTGCCATTGAACAGTTATTTTTCTTTTTTTTTTTTTTTAATAAATTCCTTATAAATATGTACAAAGAGTCTCAGCATATGAAATTCCTTTTACAAAAGAGAGAAGCCCCATCCAGCCAGGACCAGGAGCCTCCTGGAGCTCCAGGAACTCGGAGCACAGGCCCTGCCCTTGCTTTGGTGAGGGGGAAACCTGCACAGTGACCCTGCTGGAGTTCCATCCCAATGGTAACCAGCAAAACGCCAGGAATTGGGCATTCCCTGCCTGTCATTCCCTTGGCAATGCCCCTGGGACACACCGGGGAATTCGCAGCGGCCTCAGGACTCACGAGGACGGGAGGGTTTTGTGATAAACTCTGGTGAATGGCAGGAAAAGGGATGCTGTAAAAACCCAGGGAATTAAATCCCACTGCAGCTGGGTTTGCTCTGCTTGGTGCCACCTCTGACTACTGATGGAGTAACTAATAAAGGTGTGACTAATTAATAATGGTGGAACTTATAACGGTCATTTAATCCTCAGATGTTTTCAGTGAATGTTTATCAAGATCCAAAGTCACTTTCTGTAAATATTAAAAACTTTGGGAAATTCAAGCACTTCAGTAATTCCCCCAGAATGGACACTGAAGTCACATCAAAATTCACTCCTGTACTCAAATAAATACTGTAATGGAAAAATTACAGTTTTGTCTGGATTTTGTGGTGTAGAAACCCAAGGCAGGAGCAGCAGGTGAGGATCCCTGCCCTCTCCTCAGACTGGCTGGTCCTAGGGAAGCCCAATTCCCATGGTGTTTACAATTCCCTGGATCTGGAATTGGCATGGCCGGAGTCTCCTCACCTGTTGTGATGAGATGGAAAGTTCAGCTCACACTCAGCAAAGTTACACAAGAATGAGGCTGAGTTTGAAGCCTGGATTAAAAATCAAATTTTCTGGGGGCAAACTGGCTCCAAGTAAAGTTGTGCACCTGCTGGGGAGCTGGGATACAGCCAGGAGGGTTGGACATGGACAGTGTGTGTCCGGGATCCGGTGTGGAGCCTCAGGTAGCCTGTTCTATACACACCAGGCTCCTGCTGAGATCAGGGACAGATGTTGTGTAGGAAAACTGAATATTATGCGCTATTCTGTCCTCACTGGGGCCATTTTTCACAGGGCAGCTCAGTTTTCCAGCTGGGAATGCCTCATTCCAGGCTGTGGACAGACACTGCACCAGTTTAACCAGTTCGGTTTGTCATGGATTTCAACAGCAGGAACCGCTTCTGCTCATGCTGAGGGTTTAAGAGACCTTTCTAACTTTTACTGTGATACAGAAACAAAACAAACTCACCAATCAGATGAAATTGATTCAAGAAGTGTTTGGGATTTAAGGGAATTGCTTTAGCAACGGGCTTGGCTCAAAGAGGAATTGCTGCCTCCCTCTGCTCTGAAGCAGGAGTGGGATGGGGTTCTCCCCCTCCCCACTGACAGCTCCCTGCTTTGGGTGATTTGCTGGTTTGCCTGGGCACACCAAGCTGTGTGACACGAGGCCTGTTCCCATTCCACGCTTTTTTACCTGCAGGAGAAGAGGAAGGAATGTGGAACTCATGGGCCAAGCCCTGCCCTGGTGTAACCCAGCAGTGGCAGGTGCAGCAGCCCACACCAGGCTGCTCTTTTACCTTGGAATACGGAATTCCAGGTTGTGCTGGGAGCTGTCTTGGCAGAGAAGCGCTTTAAAAATTCATGCAGAGCTCCCTCCCAGCCGTGCTCTGCGCAGACCATGAGCTCATAACTGCGCTCTGCTCGCTGCTGAAACCCGAGAGGGCTCTGTTCCTCCCTCTGGAGAGCCCTCCCTGGCCTTCCCAGCTGACCCAACCCAGGGATTGCTCGGCTGCTGTGAGAAAACAAAAGGGCCAGAGGGGAACTGTGCCGGTTTCCTGCCCACAGGAGGGGACAGGGAATTTCCAGGGAGTTCACAGCACCCTTCCCTTTCCATGCAAACACCAACCAGGGGCAAAGCAGATCTTGTAGAAAGGATAAAAACACTCCTTGTCAAAAAATGGAGGCGTTCAAGGATAGCAATTACACCACAAAATGTAAGGCTTTGACAAATCTGCACCCTCAAATAAGGAATTCCAGTTCTGTACAGGGAATTCTGGCTACAAAACTCCAAAACTTCACCCTGGGCTCATGCGAAACATCCAGTTTGGAACTACAAAAGTGAAGGAAACCAGGAACAATGCAGGATTTGGGGTACCAGACCTGTTCCCACTTGGGAAGCACCATGGATGTGGTTGTTCCATGCTGGGTAGGACAAGTCTTTCAACATTTTTTGCTGACTGTTTGGAGCCCCCGGGGACAGCAATCCCCTGGGAGCTCTGAGGTTTGGGAATTTTTACAGATAAGCTTGTCCACTGAGGGCTGGGACTGAGGGAGATCAGCCAATCCCTGCACTGGGGCTGATCACAGATTTGGGGGCTCTCCTGAGGTGGGGAGGACGGAATTTCCTCTCCTTTTCCTTGGCTGTGCTGTTCCAAGGGAATTGAAACACTGGGAGCAGCCTGAAGGCTGCAGCCCCCAACAGCCAGGGCAGCAGGAGAGCCAAGGGCAGTGCCAGCTGTGTGCACAGGAAAATGGAATAATGCCTGTTCCAGGTGAGCAGTTTATTACATTCAGAGCTGGTAGGGGTGAGGAACCTGTGGGAGAGCTCTGAGGGATGTGACCCAGCTGCAGGGGTGTCCCCTACAGCCAAGTGTCACATCCATGGTTCCTGTTCAAGTGCGACTTGTGCGATTCCATCTGCACAATCTCACTCCCACATTCCAGGGATTTCCAGAAACTGGTATTTTTAAGGCTCTGCCCAGCACTGGCAGCACTGCTGGAATCAGCTGAGGCTCCTCCTTTTGTTAGAAGAATTTGTCCTTGTTTCTGTAGGAGACTGAGCCAGGAAGGGGTTCAGGATGCTGAGGATCACTGAGCATCAGGCCAAAAATGGCAGGAAAATGTTTCACTGGTCCCTGTGGCTCTGGGACCATCCAAAGGGAATGGACAGACAAACTACACGGAGCTACACCACCCCTCCCAACACTGCACATCACCTAAGGCAGGGCAAGGTTCTTCTCTAAGAACAATCTGCTCTTCCAGCAGAGCCCTTGCTGCTGTTTGGGAATGGACTTGGATCAGTAACAGCCAGGAAAATGCGTGCAGGGGCTCAAAACCCTGTGGTGAATATTTGATAAAGGGAGAATTTAGCTTCCAGATTGCTTAGAAACATTTCTCCTGCAGCAGTGGAAAATGCAGGGTCTGACTGGACACAGCGGCCACTCAGCTTCTTCCTGGGCTGGACAAGGGATGAGAAGTATTTTTAAAAGACAAGGAGCCAAATTTCCTTTAGAAATTGGGTTCTAACATTCCTTTATGCCTTTGAAAATGCCCTCCCTGCCATGGCAGGGTCAGTTTTCTGGTGCAAATATCTGAAGGTAGGAAAAATGTTTCTAAAAAACTGTGCACAGGTTGCTGTATGTGGAAGGTACCCAAAATCTGACAGGTAGTTTTGGCTGCAAGGAAAAAAGTGCTCAGTACTAGACTGAAAAAAGCCCTTTGACTTCTAAGGCCAAGTTCTCCTGTTATCCCCTGCTCTAGTGATCAGTCTGGAAAGAGTTC